AGAGGTCATAGCAGAGAGCTCTGACAAAACGTGATCCACTGGAGAAGGAAATGGCAACCCACTCCAGTATCTTTGTCATGAAATCCCCATGGACAGTACCAAAAGGCAAAAAGATATGACACTGGAAGATGAGCCCCTCAGGTCGGAAGGTGTCCAATATGCTACTGGGGAAGAGCAGAGGGCTAGTACTAGTAGCACCAGAAAGAATGAAGCAACTGGGTCAAAGCCAAAAGGACACTCAGTTGCTGATACATCTGGTGGTAAAAGGAGAGTTCGATGCAGCAAAGATCTATACTCCATAGGAACCTGGAATGCAAGATCCATGAATCAAGGCAAGTTGGATATGGTCAAACAAGAGATAACAAGACTGAACATCGACATCTTAGGAATTAGTGAACTAAAATGGACAGGAATGGGTGAATTTAATTCAGATGACCATCAGGTATACTACTGTGGGCAAGAATCCCTTAGAAGAAATGGAGTAGCCTTCATAGTCAATGAAAGAGTAGGAAAAGCAGTACTGGGATACAGTCTCCAAAATGACAGAATGATCTCAGTTCGAATCCAAGGCAAACCATTCAACATCACAATAGTCCAAGTCTATGCCCGAACCACTGGTGCAGAAGAGGCTGAAGTTGACCAGTTCTATGAAGGCCTACAACACCTTCAAGAATTAACTCCAAAAAATGATGTCCATGATGTCCAAACCCATCATGGGGGTTTGGAATGCTAAAATAGAAAGCCAAAAGATAAACGGAATAACAGGCAAGTTTGGTCTTGGAGTACAAAATGAAGCAGGGCACAGGCTGGTAGAATTTTGTCAAGAGAATACGATGGTCTTAGCAAACATTCTTTTCCAACAACCCAAGAGACAACTCTACACATGGACATCACCAGATGGTCAACACAGAAATCAGACTGACTATGTGCTCTGCAGCCAAAGATGGAGAAGCTCTATACAGTCAGTAAAAACTAGACCAGGATCTAACTGTGGTTCAGATCATGAGCTTCTCGTTGCAAAATTTAGGCTTAAGTTGAAGAAAGTAGGGAAAAGCACTAGGCCACTCAGGTATGACCTAAATCATATCCCTGATGAATATACAGTAGAGGTGACAAACAGATTTATGGAATTAGATCTGATAAGACAGAGTGCCTGAAGAACTATGGACGGAGGTTCGCAACAATGTACAAGAGGCAGCAACTAAAGCCATCCCAAAGAAAAAGAAATGCAAGATAGCAAAATGGCTGCCTGAGGAAGCTTTACAAATAGCTGAGGAAAGAAGGGAAGCAAAAGGCAAGGGAGAAAGAAAAAGATACACCCAATTGAATG